TTAAAAGTTCCATAAAAGAATGGAGAAACAAACCTTGCTAGCAAGTAAAAATGGTGGCCACTGTATAAGTTCCAAATCACGGTCAGCCCAATATGGTACAAGCAACAAATTCATTTCCCTGAGAATTAAACAAGACTCAATCTGCTAGGAAAACAAGAAACTGAGCTTTTGAAGCATGACTAATAGCATAGTACATGTAATACCTATTGTCTATAAGATCTTCCTCTCTAAAACTACTGATTATTTTGTTCCATAACTGAGCAAATCTTGCAGCCTCTTTCTCTTTGTTGGGAGGGATCTGCAGATAACATTCATGTTTAAGTTTGATGAAAGTGCTAAGTTTGAAAATGCACAATTAAATCCAGGTTATAAGATGCAGAATTTTCAACCTCTGCGTAGTCGCGGGACAATGTGGTCCTCAGTCCTTTCTTCTTTGGCTCACTCTTCTCATTTGGAATTAGACAGGCATTAAATGCACCAGGCAATGATTCAAAACGAGATCTGAGCATCCCTAATGTTCGAATCTGCAATAAATAGAAAAGTATTAAAAGAAGAAATAGTCCAGATATGAAGGTCATAAAAATTTTATATATGAAGCAAAAGAATGGTGTTAGAGATGCTTTTTTCTTTTTCAAAGAAAAAGTATGATATTACTGAAGTCCAAGGGGATGAAACTCATAAATAAAGTTAGTTACATGTCTATCAAAATGTGAACCAAATATCCTAAATCTTCAACAGTATAAAGAGGATGAGCCATTATAAAAAAGCCAAGGTTCCTAAGCCGACTTAATTCTATCAACAGACAAATTATGTACCCTCAAAAGCTTTGTTTTTTTTTTCTCTTCTATAAGACTCATAAGTAGCAAAAGGGGTGCATTAGAGATGCTAACGTGCAACTTGAAACTATTGTGCTTCCCAGCACATAAATCATTAATTGAACAAGAGTTAAAAACACCCGAAAGTAATAGAAGCATAAAATAATGTCACACCAATCAAATATGATGAAGCATCAATAAATAAAATGAAAAGATAAAGATAACTTCATCAGTCAACTAAGGAGGGATAGATGTAAAATAGAACAAGATTGCAGTTAATGTATAAAAGTGAGATATGCATGAGAAAAGAACCTCTCCAAGGCGACGGAATGCACCATATATACCCCCAAATAATGTTGAGAATATCGCATACCAGATTTGGGTGTCCATAAAATAGACCTGAACAAAAGAGTAACAGGATTTAGCCAACAATAATCGGAAGTAAAACACTAAATAAAGACAAATGCTATGCATACAAGAATAATTGGGGCCCAGAGTGCAATCACAACACCGATATTATTCTTTGCTGCATGATAAACAAGAAAAAACAAGCTGTTGTTATACTTTGTTTCTCCCTCAATAAGTTATTGCAAATGGAAGGTGCATCTTCATGTTTCATTACCACGGGGAAAGAATTCATGCCACTGGAAATCAGTTATTCGTACTTCCATAATGGATTTTGTTGGACCCACTAAAGGCTTTATCTGTTGCCAAAAAAGGATTGTTAAAACAGCAATACAAAAATTAATAAATAAATAAGAATAAGAAAAGAATAAACCAGAATAGCAGTAATATAATTTGCAGGTTTCTTACACTCATTTCCATCTATACCTTATTTAAATTTTAGTCTACATTACCATTTCCCTTGTGTTCATTGTTGCATATGAATATTGACTAACTGAAGAATAAAATAATTAAAAGCTTTGGATGAAAGGAACACACACCTCAATATAGTAACTAAAAGCCAACTTTGTTACCATGAGCAGAACCCAAAAGAATGTATATCTGAAATTTGAAACAATGTGAATCAGAGACAAAATATCATGATATGTATATGAAAGTGGCAGTTTCATCCATGCTCAAACATCAAGTTCTTACTTGAACAGAGAAAATGTGCTCTCATGCATTCCCCTTCCAACATAAAGCCGGGGCTGCAAGATGTCAACGATATTACCATAAAGGAACCATAGAGTACCGAAATAAATCAAATATATCGACTTAACTAAATTATCTACACTAATGTACATGTAAAGCACAAAACAATGAAAGGTAAAGATACCTGTGACCACCACATTACGAGCATCACAAGCTTATTGTTAGACCTCTCAAGGAATCGACGGATGAAGGGGAAAAGAAACAATACAGCTGCGAGCATATTTGGTGACAAGTAGATGACAATGGCCAATATAAACAAGGGA